GCATGCCATCTTGGGGTAGGGGGGAGGGACAAGATGGGGAGAAAATTTGGAGCTCAAAATCTTGTGGGAGTGAATGTTGAAAACTAAAAATAAATTAATTAATTTTTAAAAATTTTAAAAATAAATCTAAAAAAAAGAATAAATAGTACATTTAAAAAAAAAAAAGACTAAGGACCTCCAGCCAGGATCTTCAGCCTCTCTGAAATTTGGCAGGCAGACCACCTCTGACAACTCAGAGGCAAAGAATCTTCACTCAGCTGAATCAACTCAGTTATTCTTGAAAAATATCCTTGTTGAATGCCCTATGGTTGATTAAATCTCTCTTTGTTAATTGTTTTAAAAAAGTATTGATTGTACATCTATTTAAAGTAAAAAGAAATCATGTGTACTATTATTAAGAAATCATGTGTAGTATATTACTATTATTATTCAATATGTACCATTCATGCTTTGTGGTGAATATATAACTGACTCAAAATTTCTAAACTAGTTGTTCATATCAGTGATCAAGAAGTTTAATTTTTAAAAACAAAGCTTTTTGTGCTTGCCTAACCTTCTTGCTTCCATATTTCAAGAAAAAAAGAAAGAGTTGCCCATTGTAAAAATATTTTGGAGATACCTTGTTTCCCAGAGTTAGAGCCTAGCAAACAGTCTGTGTCCTGAGCTTGGCATAACGATAATCCTTTGTGCTCAGGATATCACCCTCTAGCAAAGTATATTGCTTAGACCAGTACCAGGTGTTCACTGATGGATTTAGCTCTCCTTAATTTACCAGAATGATCCATCACATGTCCCTAGTCCCTATTCCTTGTCACTGACAGGGGTACTTTACTACTGTTCCTGTACAAAGCTCTGGTTCTATACCTGGTATAGTAGTCATAACCCTCAAGACTTGAGACAATGACTGTTCCCTCAGGACCCAAGAACATCTCTGTTGTCCCAAGAAATGCCAACCATGAGAACCAGCTCAGGATCTAAAAATGATTGTGTTGTGGCCCATCCCTTTCATGTATGTAGAGGGCCCCAGCCTTAGCAGCCTTAAACCCCCTTCTTAGGAAGGGGGCTTCCATATGTACAAGTCATTTTTTTCACTCTGAAATTAATTAAACTTCTGTTCGTGTCCTGACTCTCTTGTCTCTAGCCTGCTGTGTTTGTTTGGTTCCAGCCACCCATAGGTTAAATGCCCCTTCTGGTCCAGTTGACAATAATTGTTGTCAGAAGTGGGATTTGACATGGAACAGGGCCAAATGGACCTTCAGTACTAGGGGGGTGGACTAGGTGCCACCAGATATTTATTTCTGTGAAGTCTGACCCCTCTTGTCTGGAGAGTTCCCTGCCCTTTCCTCCTCAAACCCTCTGGCTCACCTTGATTGAGCTTGGCTTTTCATTGTGAGGAATGTTTCAGGGCCCTTTTTCTTGAGCTGGATTACTCTGGTAAGACTGGTTTTGCACCCAGATTGGCAAACTTTTTGCGTGTATCTGGATTTTTATTTATTTATTTATTTTTATTTTTTGCATGTGTCAAATTTTATTTGAGTAAGGATATCTTGCATGTTTGGTTGTGAGCTTCTGGAACTTATTGAAATGAACATTGTAACTGAGCGCTAGTGAGGCACAACTTTTTCTCTTCATGCCTTGTGGTTTGAACTCTTCTCTTTTAATTGCATATATAGCTATGGACTGCACTCTCTTCTTTCTTACATTTGTATCTGTCTTTTCTATGTCTTTGTAAACTGCAGAATGTCTGTCACAGCCTGTGTCCCTCTGTTAACCCCTCTCTTCTCGATCAGATTAAGGAAAGAGAATGCAGGAGAATTCTAGAGAAACCTAAATTACAGTTTGCTCCACCTGGTACAATGCAGGGCAGCAGCTGCAGGGGGCCCCACAACCCTGCCCCAGCAGCTTTCCAAGCACTTGCAGCTGTGTATGGGGGGGAGGTCAGGATTGGCCTAAATTCCCAGATCCCTACCACCAAGAACTACCACCAATGGAAGGTCCTGGCACCAGCCACCTCAGCCTCTAGGCAGTGCCTTCTTTCACACTTTCCATCCAGGGCCCAGCTGGTCAGTGTCTCCAGGACAGGACCAGCCATCAGCAGGACTCAGCTGTTACCTGAGAGTCTGGGTGCCCTTGGCAGCACCTCGAATGACAGTATGAGCAGGGGAGCAGACTGTTTCCCTGTTATAGCCCCTATTACCTGTTTCCCTCAACTCTAACAAAAGTCAAATTCATTGGAGCTGAGGTAACTTCCCTTTCATGGGAAAAAGAGAAAAAGAGAGAAATGCATTTCCTGAGATTGCACCAGACTATTTAGAATTTAACTAAGGCAGACCCAATTTATGCTCTATGAAAGTCCTAAAAATAACAGTGGGTGTCACAAATTATTCAGAATCCACCCCACAGGGTGTCTCCAGATGAAAATATATGCCCCCAGTGGTCAAACATGGACTGAGTCAGCTGAGTTCCAAAGCACAGTGGTCATCTGGAGAAATCAAACCTGACTGGGAATGCCAGAAGGAACATGGTAGGGTGGACACAACCAGTTTTCTGTTATCTTATCCACATGCACAGTCCAATGCCTTTCTTGTTTAGTTTGACATTCATCCTGGTCACTACAGGTGCGGGCCTCATCTCCTATAGGAATGCCCATTAACACCTGCCACCCCCCATGACATCTTGCACCATGACTTGTGTTCAGTGGAACGTGTCTTAATAGATCTGGGAGTCCTTACTGTCCTTGTAAGCAGGGGAATTGCAGGGGAAGAGGTCCATAGGAAGCTGGAATATACACAGAAAGATATTGCAAAGTGACTAAAGGACCAAATTGAGAACACTGCTAGAGGACTTGACAAATTGGCTGAAGGACAACATACTTTGGGAGCTCTGGTGATGGACCACCAGCTGGCTTTGTACTACCTGGTAGCCAGACAGGGAGGAGTTTGTGGTTTGTAAATTCCTCCTGTTGTGTGTGAATTGATGCTTCAAAAAGAAATAGCCCTCATCACACACCATATGATAAATGAAATGAAGAATGACACCATCGTCACAGATGTTGACAAGGTCTTTCCAGGCACTATAAAGGTTTTCACTGATCTTTTCTCCTGGATTTTTCCAGAGGAATTGGTACGGTTCCTGGGAAAATCCTTTAAGGATATCATGATTGATATTCTTGCTGTGATTTTGTTTAGATTGCCTCTTAGTCATGGTAGTGTATAATAGTGATCAGGGGACCAGGGAGTGGATTGTGAAAAAATATATTGTGTTTTGTTTTCCTTGAAATGATATCTTCCCTTCTAGTCAGTATATATAGGATGTTTATAAGGAGCCAGTATAAAGGGGAAATAGTAAGGAATCAGAATGCAAAGGGGGAACTTAGAAGTCACATATAAACTGTCCCCAAGGTCAAAGGAACATAATTTACAAGTTGTGTCCTACATTAACTAAGATTCACATCCTCAATCAGCTGAAGCCATCTGGGTGCTGCTGTTGGGACTGTTGGTCTTATGACATGTAAATCTCAGACAAGTTCCAGACGTCTGCAGTAAGGCCAGCAGAACACCAAGAAGTGCTAATACCTTTGAGATGATGAGGGCATGTTAACTAAAGTTTTACTGACAACTTTGAGATGATTTGGATGTGTCAATGAACTAACCACTAGGTGGCACAGATAAGAGTTAGTCCATTCTTCAAAAAAAAAAAACCTATTAAAATGAATCTTCCAACTACTGTCCCCCAGCTCTTCCATCTCTTTCAGGTCCATGATGCTTAAGGCTCCCAACTCTAATCCATGGTCACATGAGTGATAGTCTGTGCCTCTCCCCCTCTCCGTCCTCTTCCCCATTGCCGCCTATCTCCCTGTCGTTACCACCCCATACCCCGCTCCCACACCATCTGCCTCTGTACTCCCTTTTGTCACTTGTCTCTGTACTTTCTGTCGTTTTTGCCCCCCATTCTCCATGGTTATTTAAGATTGCTACTCTGTCTCCTGCTGCCATAATAATTTTTCCCAGCAAGTACCCAATGACTGGGTGTGCCTGCCTCCATTTCACATTTCACAATCAATTCACTTTTTCTTTTTTCTTATTGCTTCTCTTCTCCTTTTTCCTCTTCCTTCCCCTTCTCCTTCTTCCCTGGCAGTCTCAGAGAAGAGACGCTGGTGACCCACATTCCAGGGACTTCAACACCACATACTTCATTAAACTGAATCATAAGGACACTGATCTTAGGGTCAGAACACCTGGGTTCATACCCATTTCCAACACTTCTGTGAGACCAGATAGTTGTGTGACCTGCAGAAGGAAATTCTTCCCTTTGAAGCTCAGCTTCTTTATCTGCAGAAGAGGAATGATCACTCACACTCTATGCCTGGTGTGCCTGTTATGAAACAACCCTGTTAAGTTCAGAGAAACTGGCAATTTTTACTATTCTCAGTGTTTGAAGGGTGAGTCTGGGAAAGAGGCTCAGGGATACTGTGAGAACAAGACATAACTATAATGTCACCTGAACTTCTAGGATTGAGGGAGCTCCCAGAACTTCAAAAGACTCTATTTTGACTTCATTGGCAGCTGGGTGGCTCAGAAAATAGCTTGCTGGACCTGGAGTTAGGCAGCCCTGAGTTCAAATCCAGCCTCAGACACTTACTAGTTCTGTGACCCTAGGCAAGCTCCTTAACCTCTGCCTGCCTCAGTTTCCTCAAATGTAAAGTAGGCATCATAATTCCACTTGCCCCCTAGGGATTTGTCAACACGAAAATGAGTTAATATTTGTAAAGCACTTGGCACAGTGCCTGGCCCACATTAGGCACTTAATAAATGCTTCCTGTTTCCTAGGTAAGGCCAGGCTTCTAAGGTATTCTTGGTCTCAGAGAATGCTAAGAAAAAAAAGCCAAATTGGGGGAGGAGATGGGAAAGAAGTGCCTGGACCATGACTCACTTACCTCAAATAATGTCTGATAACTTCTTTTTCCCTGACAGAGGAGTCTGTGATGTGGAGTGATGAACTTCACAGATGACCTTGGAGTGAACGTCACTGGGTGTGAGCAGCTCCTGCACGGTGCTGGTGAGGTTGTAGGAAACACTATCTCCCTCTGGGAAAAAATGGGTCCAGAGAGCAGGGAGTTCAGTCCCATTTTTTAACCACTTCAGGCTGATGTTTTTTGGGGAAAAGCCAGTGGAGGTTTGATGCTTGCCCTTTCCTGGGGGCCGGACACCAAAGGACCAGAGGGTTTATCTGGAAAAATCAACCATTGAGTGGAATAAATACTTCTGTGTCATCATATCAAATGAAATAATTGATGCAAACCACTTCTGTCAGTCTTAAAGTACTCCCCAGAGTCAGCTAGGTTTTGCAGTGGAGTGAGCCCTGACCTGGAGTCAGGGAGACCTGAGTTCAAATCTAACCTCCGACACTTATTATCTTTGTGATCCTGGACAAGTCACTTAACTTCTGAGTTAATTTCTTCATCTGTAAAATGGGGGTAATAACAGCACCTTCCTCCCAAGGTTGTTATGTGGAGATGAGAGACAATGTTTCTAACATGCTTACCACAGTTCCTGGCATGGCAGGCAATATATAAATGTTAGCTTTTATGAAAGAAAGGCTGCCTTGAGTCTGATACGCACTGTGTTTGATGGGTGGTGTATTGGAGCTGATGACTCTTTTATCCACTTGTGCAGAGACCTAGAGACAGTCCACATTCTGATAATCCAAGGGAAGCCTGAGGGGATGCAAAATGAGAGAAACTCTGGTTTTCCATGGGGGAAATTCTGGGTTGAGTCAAAGAACATTTTTGGGATAATTCTGGAAGAATAAATCAGTCCATTGAAATTTAGAGCATGGGCTTCTGGGCTATGGGATAGAAACATTTATTAAGAAGATATATATACACACACAGATATTAATTTTGCACTTAAATACATAAAGCCAAAAAAGAACATTTCCAAGTACATAGCACAACATGAAAAAAAGATATAAAGGTAATACAAAAATGAGACATAGTGATATGGTGAATGTGTTTCCTCTTGTCCTGTCACAATGCTACCACTCTAGCGCAGGCCCTCACACCTTGACTATTGCAATAGCCTGCTGCTAAGTCTGCCCATTTCAGATCTCTCTATTCCAATCCATTGTTCATTCCACAACCAGAGTGATTTTCCTAAAAGGTAGGTCTGACTACATCAGTGCCCTCCTCAATGGACTCTTAATTGCTCCCCATCACCTCAAGAATCTAATAAAAAAATCCTGTCTGTCATTCATTGTCCTTGAAGGTAAGATTTGTCTTTTGCCTTTTGTAAGTATCCCTAGCATTTAGTGTGTGCCTGATACATAGTAGGCACTTAATGAGTATTTATTGATAGTGATTGACAGAGGACCTTAATTTAAATCCTAATGTGACTCTATCTGTGAGACCCTGGACTGAGTCTAGAACTGTCTAGCATTTTAATCAGTAGATGTCTTAGGTGACAGGCTCATCAGCTCAGGCACTGACACAAAGCAGGGAGGGACAGCAAATTCAGCACGTGACAGTCAGGACCCACAAAGATGTCTACAAGACAGAAGGTTGAATCCAATCTAGAACCAGGAGGTGCTGGTTCTATATTTTTCTGCATTGGCCATACCACAACTAGTTTATTACATTCAGTTTTTGGTGCCACATGATAGGAAAGGCATCGATAAGCTAGACAGCATCCAAAGGACAGTGACCACAAGGCTGGGAGGTCTGCAAAACATGCCAAGGAGCTAGGAATGATTAGTCTGGAGAAGAGAAGACTGGGCTTTGGGTGGGATGGAGCAGAACATCTGTCTTCCCATCTTTGAAGAACTGTCTGGGGAAGAGGGGCTTAAGCTTAGTCTACCTCCCCCCAAGGGCAGAAGTAGGAGTAACTGCAGAGGCAGGTTTGAGCTTAGTGTCAGAAAAAAGCTTCCCAAGAGCTGTCCAAGGTGGAAAGGACAAGCTCCTGAGGTTCTCCTTCAGTAGAAGTGGTCAAGAAAAAGTGGGTAGCCTCTTGTACTGGGAGACACATTAGAATAGATTGTGAGCCAAGTCTGCACTAGATATCCACTAAGGTTCTTTAGTATTGCGGACTCTGAGGTTTTTTGAGTTCTCACCCTTTAGATCCTGAAGGAATGTCTGACAAAACTAAGAAGGAGGCTAAATGGTGCAATGAAAAAAGTCCTGGGCTGGAAATCTGAGTAATAATAATAATCATGGTAAGAATAATATTAACAATAGCCTTTATGTAATACTTCAAGGTTTGCAAAGTGCTTTATATAAATATATAAATATATATTATCTCACTGATCCCTACAAGAAACCTTTGAAGTGGGTGCTATTATTATCCCCATTTTTCAGATAAAGCATTCTGAGGCTGAGAGGTTAAGTGACTTGTCTGAGGCAGGATTTAAACTCAAGACTTCTTGACTTCAAGTCAAGTAGTCTAATCATTGTGGACTTAGCTGACCTCTAGTTTTGGCTCTGCCCCTCAGATTTGCTGTGTAACTTTAGACAAGTCACATTCCCTTTCTGGGTCTCAAGTTCCTCCTCTGTAAACTAAAGATTTTAGACTCTATGGTGTCCAGATCCCTAGCTCTGAGAAGGTTGGGGTGAGCAGAACTGTTATACATGGGAACACATTTAGAGGGCATTGAAAACGCTTGTAGGATTTGGCAGAGAAATAAGGGAGCTTTATAAAGTATATGTTGTAGTAGATAGAGAATTGGCCTCTGTCAAGAAGTCCTGGGTTCAAGTTCTGCTGATGACAAAGAGGAGATGGAAGGAAAAATCTGAAATTGTGAGTGCTAGATTGAGCTCCCTTACTGATAAGAAGAGGACAATGTGCTGAAGTGGCTTGGTAGATTTGATTTTATGTTGGAGGAAGTGACTGTGGTCTCATGCAGCGTGTGAATGTCTTACAGATGTGGTAGCAGGAAGGCCAAGAAGGACTACAGATAATCCTCCTGCCTGGGTTCTTCCCTGTTTGTCTAGCCCATTTGTCTTTCATCAAGAGGACAGGAGAAATTGAAGTCTAGACCTATGTTCAGGAAACCAGAAGAATCTGCCTAGTTGTGCCACTCACTTGCTATGAACCCTTGGGCAAGCCATTTTCCAGGCTTGGGCCTCAGTTTCCTCCTTCATAAAAAAAATTCACAGTAATTGGAGTAAATGATCTCTAAGGTCCCTTGTAGTTCTAACACTCTGTGCGTGTGCCAAGAGTTCTGTCTGTTCAAATAGGCTATAATCTGTATTCTCAGGTACTTTTTACCTGTGATATGCTGTGATTCTAAGGGCTGTGGTCCCATGAGATCCCCAGAAGGAGAAGGAGCAGAAAAGTCCAGTCCAGAAGCCTCAGGGAAGGAGTTCCTGCAGCATTTTCCAATGAGACATCGTCTCATGGAGTCAAAGCTGCAGAATTGCGTTTGTCCTACAGTTTCCCTTCTGAGAGAGGATGCAGGCCAACCGTCCTTCATTACTCTCTCAGCTCTGACACTGATTTTTTGAACTTTGACCCCAGTGTGGGTACCTTCCCTGACACATACTTTTCATTTTTTTTTCTGTGTTGATTTTCCCATTTGCCATGTAAGCTTCTTGAGGACAGGGCTTGCCTTTCTTTTGCTTGTATGTGTATCCTCAGTGCTTACCCCTGTGCCTGGCATACATTAAATACTAAATAAATGCTTACTGACAGGTATAGTGGCACCTGTCTATAATCCCTGCTACTGGGAGGTAGCTGAAGCTTGTGGATCCCTCGGGTTCAAGGGGTTTGAACTATAGTGAGGCAAAACCCATCAGCTGTCCACACTCAATCTGGCAGAAATTTGGTGAGCCTCTTTATAGCAGAGGAGGCCACCATGGTGGTCAACATAGGCCAGCTTGGAAAAAAGGAGCAAGTCTTAGCTTCCATGTTGATCATTTGACATCTGGCCCATGAGTGGCCACTGAACTTCCAGCATGAGATAGGGAGACACAGTTTAAAAAAAAAAAGTGAAACAAACCAAACAAAAAACCCTAAACTTGTTGATTTGGCCTTGGGACAAATCTTTTAATCTCTCTTGACCTCAGCTTCCTTGTCTGTAAATTGGGGGTGACAATACCTACCTCACAGCATTATTTTGAGGATCAATTGAGATGATGTCTGCAAAGTGATTCGCAAACCTTTAAACTACATTCAGTTCAACAAACATTTACTAATGGCATACTATATGCCAGGCTGGGGATATGAAAGACAGTCCTTACCCACAAGGATATTGTGATCTAATGGAGATGACATGCAAACAAATAGCCACAGACCAAGCTAGATAGAGGACAAATAGTAAACGATTAAGAGAGGGAAAGCACTAGAATTAAGAGGAGTTAGAGAAGGCTTCCTCCAGAATGTGGGATCCTGCTGGTGACATAAAGGCAACCAGGGAGATCAGTTGTTGGAGTGGAGAGAGAGAGAGCATTCAGGCAAGGGAAATAACCAAAGAAAATTCCAGTGACTAAAATCTGGAGAGTCTTTTTATTTTGTGGAACATCTTTGAGGCCTGTGCCACCAGATTGAGAGTACATGTGGGAGAATAACATGTAAGAAGACTGGATAGGTAGGAGGGGGCTTGATGATGAACAGTTTGAATGCTCAAAGCCACATTTTTTATTTGTGCCTGGCACGAATACAAAGCTCCTGGAGTTTGTTCGAAGGGCTGGGAAGGGAGTGAGGTGACATGGTTAGGCCTGAGTTTTGGGAAAATCACTCTTGTGGCTGAAAGGAGAGTGGTTGGAGTAGGGAGAGACTTCAGGCCGTCATGCCCAGCAGCAGCCAGTGCAGTAATCGAGGTGTGAGGTGATGAGGATCTTCACTAGGGTGGTGGCAGTGTCAGAGGAGAGAAGGGGGCATATTTGGGAACTCTTGCACAGGCTGAATTGATCGACTTGGGCAACAACTCAGATATGGGAGGTGAGAGACAGTGCAGAGTGTAGGATGACTCCTAGGTTGTGAGCCAGAGAGAATGGGAGGATGGTGCGGTCCTATACAATATTAGGAAAGGTAGGAGGGGAAAGGTTTAAGGAGAAGATAATCAGCTCTGTTTTGGACAGAGTGAGTTTAAGATGTCTACTGGAATCCAGTCTGAAAAGCCAGATCGTTATTAGGAAGATGAAAGGCCTTTGAGGGCTCTGCTGGCTTTTACCTTTCCTCCTCTGCCCTCTGTTCCCACTGTACCCTCTTGCACCCTGACCACTCACCACCACTCAATCATTAACAAACCTTCCTTTACTGCGGCCTTCTCTTTTTCTGTTTAACATCATCTAGAACACATGAAAGTCTGACTTTCCAGAAAAGTTTAGCACCCTGGACAACTCTGTAATACTTTGTCTTCTTTCTTTCAGATTGTCTGACACACAGAGCCAGGAGGAGTTGGCATGCTGCTTGTTCCTCACTCATTTTCATCTATTCTCTGTCACCATGGCTCAACAACCTTTCTTCTTTTGAAGATTCAAGCCAAGTGTCCATATTACACTGTCCTGACTCCTCTTCATATGATATACTGACCCCTAAGTATTTCTTCCTCCTTTCTGAAAGAGTTTGGAACCTGGTTCACAACCATTCTCTCTAGCCTACCCATGCCTTCATTCTTGGGGACTTTAATATACATATTAATATCCCCTCAAACATCATATCCTATCAGGTCATCTGCATTCAAAACTTCCGTGACCTAATAATTCTTTTCTTTCCTTTTTTTCCCTCATTTTTTCTAGCCAGACTCCCACATGGATGGTCATTCTTTAGACCCTGAAACCACTCATTACTGTGCCTTCAAACTCTGGTTCTCTGATCGTAATGGCTTGAGTTTGGAGGAGGAATTCCTTCTAGTATTATGTGGTAGAAGACATCAATCTCCCCCATACCAGGAGACCAGTGCCTTTGGATGGGGCTTAGTGACTAGTGAAAGTTAAGAAGAGTGAGAGGTGAAAGCCTTGGGGGGAAAAGGCTAAGGTCTTTTGGATAGATCTAAAAGAGTCCTTACAAGCTGGTATATAGTCAAGGAAGTTTTATGCCCAAGCCTGTATATTTCATACCTTCCTACTTTTGGGCTACCTTGTCCTGAAGCTGGAACCTCCCTTGTTCTACTACTTTACTTCCCCAACCTCAAAAAATACAGTTTGAAAAAGAGAGACTTCTATGGCTAGATTCCTGGGCCTTTGATTGCTAGCAGAACTTGGACAGTTGTCCCAGTACTCTGTACTTGCCCATCACAGACAACATGATTTATACCAGATTTATACTCTATGCTAGGTGTCCCCTTTTTGAACTTCATGCAGTCATAGGTGCCACTATCCAATGGAGTGATGTGGCTGATGCTGATGGAGAAGTCTGTGTTGCTGCTGGGTTAGGCTGCTTTCTTTATGTGGTGGAAGGTGCCTCCTTGGAAATGGTAAATTTCTTGTCTCTGGGCCCCTTTCCCCTTGACCCTTTTCACTGGTCTTACTGTTAGAACCCCAGGTATTGTGCAGTTCAGGGTGACTGTGGTACCTCTGAGTCATTTTGATTTGCATTTCTCTAGTGAATAGTGATTTAGAACATTTTTTCATATGAGTATAGATAGCTTTAATTTCTTCCTCTGAAAACTGCCTGTTCATATCCTTTGACCATTTATCAGTTGGGGAATGACTTGTATTCTTAAATATTTGACTCAATTCTCTCTGTATATTTAGAAATGAGGCCTTTATCAGAGACATTAGTTGTAAAAATTCCCAGTTTTCTGCTTCCCTCCCAATCTTGGATTCATTGGCTGTGTTTGTGCAAAAACTTTTCAGTTTAATGTAACCAAAATTATCCATTTTGCATCTCATAATGTTCTCTGTCTCTTGTTTGGTCACAAATTCTTCCCTTCTCCATGGATCTGAAAGGTAAACTATTCCTTACTCTTCTACTTTGCTTATAGTATCAGTCTTTATATCTAAATTCTGTACCCATTTTGACTTTATCTTGCTATAGGGTGTAAGATGTTGGTCTATGCCCAATCTCTACCATACATTTTTCCAGTTTTCCCAAAAGTTTTTGTTAAATAGTGATTTCTTATCCCAGAAGCTGGAGTCTTTGGATTTATCAAATAGTAGATTAGTATAGTCATTGACTGTTGTGTCTTGCATATCTAACCTATTCCACTGATGCATCACTGTTTCTTAGCCAGTACCAAGTAGTTTTCATGATTGCTGCTTTATAATACAATTCAAGATCTGGTACAGCTAGGCCACCTCCGTTACATTTCTTTTCATTAGTTCCCCTGACATTCTTTTTGTTCTTCCAGGTGAATTTTGTTATTGTTTTTCCTAGTTCTATAAAATAATTTTTGCTAGTTTGATTGGTATGGTGCTGAATAAGTAAATTAATTTAGGTAGAATTGTCATTTTTATCATAATAGCTCAGCCTACCCATGAGCAACTGGTACTTTTTCCAACACAAGATTTTCTCATTTTTTTAGAAAAATCATTTCTTTAGGTGACTGGTGACACACTATCCATGTCTTTGTCAACCTACAAATGAGGCTTCAGTTGTATTGCTGATGGAGAATGTTGGGGCCCTCTCCCTCCCCTACCAGCCTGGAATAAAGCATCCAGGTATTGACAGGGGACTTACCCCACGGAGTAACATCATATGGTCACAAACCCAAAAAGAGTTCTTTGAAGAACTTAAAAGGGAATTCAAAAATCAAATAAGAGAGATCAAGAAAAATTAGAAAAAAAAAGCTATCCAAGAAAATTATGAGAAGAAAGTTAACCAACTGGAAAAGAGATACAAAATATTAAGGAAGAAAATAACTCCCTGAAAACCAGAATTGGGCAAAAGGAATCAAATGATGTCATAAGACACCAAGCAATAATAAAAGTAGAAAAAAATAGAAGAGAATCTGAAACAATCTCATTAGAAAAACAATTGATTTGGAGAACAGATCGAGAAGAGACAATATAAGAATTGTTGGAGCACCTGAAAGTTATGATCAAAAAATGAATTGATAAAATATTACAAGAAATTATTAAGGAAAATTTCCCTGAAATTCTAGAACAAGAAAGTAATGTACAAATAGAAAAAGTCTACCATTCACCACCTGAAAAAATCCCAGGAGGAAAACTTACAGGAATGTCATAGCCAAGTTTCAGAATTCCCAGGTTAAGGAGAAAATATTGCAAGCAACAAGAAAAAAAAATCAATTTAAATACTGAGGAGATACAGTCAGGATTTCACAAGACCTAGCAACTTCTGTCTCTGAGATGATAGGTATTGGAACATTAAATTTTGAAGAGCAAAAGAGCTGAGGTTGTATCTAAGAATAACTTACCCAGCAAAGTTGAATATAATCCTGAATGAAAAAAACTGACAAACTGAAAGACTTTCAGGTATTTGTAACAAAAAGACCAGAACTCAATGGAAAATTTGATATGAAATATCCAGAAGAAATATAAGGAAAGCACTAAAGACTAATTATAAGGCACTCATTAAGGTCAAACTGCTTATATGCTTATGCAGTTTTGGAACCTTACTCTCATGAAAAGAAAACAACATGTATACTTGGAAGGGTATAGAAGTTTTCTGAACATGTAGAGAGGTAAGGAAACTGAGGGACAGGGTGGAGAAGGGACTTTTGGAGGATATGTGTGGATTGGGATTGTGAGGGTAGGAGGAGAGGGTCAAGGTCTCTTAGAGGGGTGGGTGGGATGGGGAATGGGAGGTGGGGGAAGAAGATAAGGTAACAAGGATCAGGTAAAAAGAGGCTGAGAAAGAAAATGAGTAAAAATAAAATGGAGGGAAATTCACAAATTGTAATTATAACTTTGAATGTGAATAGGATGTTTATAGCAGCTTGCTTTGGGGTGGCAAAGAACTGGAAATTGCGGGGATCTTCATTAATTGGGGAATGGCTGAACAATTTGTGGTGTAAGATTGTGATAGAATACTACTGTGCTGTAAGAAATGATGAACTCAATGATCTTAGAAAGGCATGGAAATACTTGCAAAAAATAGCAGAGAGAGAAGTGAGCAAAACCAAGAGAATATTGTGTATAGTAACTAACATTGTTTTAAGAATGACTTTGAGTGACTATGTCACTTTGACTATTACAAATACACAAATTAAAAATAAAGGACATATAAACAAAGATACTTTCTGCATCCAGAGAAAGAACTGCTAAATAGAAATAGTTATAGGATAATTATATATGTGTGTATACCTATACATATATGTATACATACATACATACATACATACATACACATACCTATCTGTGTATAATGGTAGCCATCTCTAGGGCAGGGGAGGGAAGAAAAAAAAGGAATAGAAAGTTGTATGTAGTAAACCTGCAGTTTTGTGTGAAATCATCTTTTTTATTATACTATGTTACGGACATGTTGGTTATATTCCATAATTTAAAAATAAAAAATATTTTTTAAAAGTACTTAGCACAGTTCCTTGCACATCATATGCACTATACTATATAACTATAGTATAGTGAGCATAATTCTATATAACTATAAATGTTAGCTATTATTATAGCTACATGCTTTAAAAGAGGAGCTGCCATTATCATCTACCATTTAGTAAGTCATAACCTACTTTCTTAACCCCCTCTGATTACTTTAAACTGGCTCATGCTGATAACCCACCACTGTCAGGAAAAAAACCAGTTTTAAAAATAGAACTTACGTAGAAAGTGTATTTGTTGCCTTGAACTTGCAGGACTCTTCACCTTTACAGTCCTTCTAAAGAAATGAGAAACTCAAATAGATGCTCTCCCAGAATTCATCCTTCGGCAATGCCTTTGTTGCTTAAATTTCTGGGATTGTGTTTTTGGAGGTCTCTGTGTCAGAGAGTAACAATCCATAAATACCATAAACTTCATTTGTATTTTGTACATCTTTATCTAGAATAAAAGAGATATGCTTATCTAAAGGAACCAACATGGAAACCAAAGGGAGATCAGGTCATGAGTTGGTAGAAAGTGAAACAAATGTCACCAGCCTTTTCAGTCTCTTCTGAAGCTTTTGAGATTTTGGTAAATTTGAAAAGCATAAGGGGGAGGGATGGATGAAAGAAGATTTATTATCATAGTTTCACTCAATTCTTTTAAATGTTTGTTTAGCCAGGATGAGGGGATAGTTCATGGTGGGTATGATAGATGAGAAGTAAAAATTAAAATGAGTTTCTGACTATAAGTCAGATCAGTGTTGAACTGAAGGAGTCAGAGGAGACAATAAAGAAGAAAGAAGGTGAAGGAGCAGATAATTCTGCTTTTAGAGGCCAAACTATACATGTTTAATCCATCTTCCCATGATCACCCTTCAAATGTTTGAAGGCAGCTCTCATTTGTCCTCCTTCATCTACTTTTTTCCTTCTTAGGATAACCAAGTTCTTCAACTGTCATTTACATGGCAAGGACTTCAACATCCACCTTATCCTTATCCAAATCCAGCTCATTCTCCTGCCATTGAAGCTAGACCCCAGCTTGTCAGTGTAATTCTTGGAATATAGTGCCTGGAACCTTGGTGGAGCTGTGAATTATGGCTATAGTCATCCTGGAAAGCAACATGGAACCAACCCCCAAAGTTATTAGCTGGGCATATCTTCTGACACAGTCATACCACCACTAGGTATTTACTCCCAAAGGGATCAAAGAAAGAGGAAAGGGAAGACTCCTATGGACTGATACATATTAAAATTAGAAGAATCAGAAGAACAATTTATACAGAAACAACCTTATAAGAACAAAAACTTTAAAAGTTTTAAGAACTTATACACATACACATGCACACATATAATATTTGAACAATAGTAATATGGGAATTTGTTTTGCTTGACTTTGCCCATTTGTTATAAAGATTTTCTTCCTTCTCCCTTCCTAATTGGGGTTTGAGGAGTGGCAGGAAAATTGAAAAGAAATTAAATTTTAAAATAAAGAATTTGTTGCATCCATCAATTGTCTGACTAGGGCAGAAGACCCTAAAAATACTTCCTTTCTTGTTTTGAATACTATGCTTCTATTAATACAGCCCAAGACATGGCCCAAATGTGTCATATAACTCCATTTATTCACATTGTTTAATTGTGACAGTTCACATGATAGGAATCACTGTCCTCTTTCATATAGAGCATGTCAAGTTGTCAAGAATCTGATCGCTGTGCTTAATCCAAGAGATACTAAGATCTCTAGAGATAATTCCATTTATGATGAATTTGAAAACCATGGTGTTTCCAGACTGGGCCTTTGCACAATGGAAAACCACACAGACAGTAACAGGCAGAGGTCCCTGTAGACCACAGATTCTGTCTTTTCTCTCTTTATTCTTTTTTGTTGACTCAGAAACTCCTCCCTATTCCAAGATAAGAGGCAATAATAAAACTCAGGGCCTCTAATGTCTACAATAAATGAACAAAGTGTTAGTAACTATCAAGAAAAATAGAGATTTTAATAGAAAGAGGCAAATTTAATCTGAAACATATCAGAAATGATGGTGTGGGACCCCAACTAGACCATGGCTCTGAAATGGC